AGAGCGGTTTCATGACATTACTTTCACTTTTTCTTTTACAGTTTGCTCTTTCAAACACAGAGAACAATTATCACCACACAAATAACTGGCAGGGACCCTTCCAGAGTCTCCAGCTGACTTTTGACCTGTCACACCTGATGAGGTCGAGGAGGGCGTCAGCCGAGGTTATGACAGGCCCGCCACCCAGCCGGTTGCTCTCCACCTCTGTCCCCACACCTGGTTTGATGATGATCACGAGAAAGATGCCGACCACTACGGCGATGAAGGTGGTCCAGAGGTAGTATGTGACGGTGAGGACACCCATTCGGCAACATGCCTTCGACTCCATCGATGATAGACCCGACATTAAACTGCACAGCAAGGCAAGGACAGAGGGGGACTTAGAAAATAGTCTGGATCCATCAACAGAGAGGATACACAACTGTACCATAGTGCTGACTGAGAGGTACTGAATAAGAACATCTATAACAGATCTGGGCTGCTTCTTCAGACTATTTGTTTTAAAACCAGTTTGGGGACATATCTAACAGCAAAATCCTGTTCTGGTGTTAGAAAACTACTCTGTACTTACTGCTTAAGAAAAGACTGAAATTTTACTGATAGAAAGCCATGGACACAGTTATTTTTGTGCGTGGTCTTATTGCGTAGATTTGATGCTGGGAGGAGACACAAATCACACTGAGGTTGTTTGAGGAAGGCCATGAAAGTCTGTGTCAAGTCAAACATGTGGAGCTATCCATATGTTTTTCCTTTAGAGGATTTACCCTTCCAGTTGAAAATTTATGGAGGAGAATCTTTAAATCACTCATATGAATAAAGTCCACGAGTCCTGTCATTGGACTGGACTTTGATTTATCTTATAAGTGTCAGAATCAGTATCTCGAGGCAAAACTTTCCAAATAAATATGCTGTTAATATGCCTTTGTTTGATATTTTTATACGCATAATTTATGGATTTTCTTTAATAACGTGGGTGAGGAAACATATGTGGTAACACACCGACAAAAATGTGGTCCCACTGTAAACACCTGCTGATAGATTTAGTCTCAATTAGACGGCTCAGTTGTCCCTGGAAAAACAATTTACACACCAACTGGGCTGTTCCTAACAAACAGGTAAAGTACTGCATGTTTAACTGAAATAACTGTAATAATAATAACAATAATAATAATAGTTTAACACAACTGGCACAGTTCATGTTTAAATAAATAATCCTGATTAACAGGCTCCGGGACGTAGTTGGTGTGTCCGG